GTATCGTATTTTAATAAAATGGATTTATATGTTTTGAAATATTAGTGTTACTAAGTGACAATAGTTCAGTGATAGTGGTGTGACTTGTGTGAGGAAAATATATTTGAATAAATACATTTTTGGAACGAAGTAAGTGATTGTTCTTTTTTTTAACAAACAAGCCAGTGGACTTCTTCTAAGTAGATATATGAGGACAAGCAGCCAATGCAATGTGTTTGTTCATATACGAATTAAAATATATTACATAAATGTATTTGAAAAGTAACCTAGTTAGGGACGTCTATTTACTCAATAAGTAGGGAAGTCACAAATTATTTTTATAGCTATATCCGATAGCTCGTTTATGTATCACGGATCTATACTTTTATTTATTTGTAAATAAATTGTTATTAGATTGCATATAATTTTGGCGCGTGAAAAAAATACAATAATGTCTAGAGTTAGCCTTCATGTAATCGTGTGGGCAACCTTGGTCGTTTTTAAATTTCTTACATATTTTATTTTTTATGAAATTATATAATAAATTTTTGAATGCAGTAGGAATGTTATTTTCATATTTAAATCGTATCCACCTTTTTTTAAACCACGTTTTTTCAAAACTGCGATGTGGCAGTGTACGCAGAACTATTTATATGCAAATGTACAAAATATTATGAAAAGGCATGTTTTAGTACCATAAATTAAATGTTTGACGAAACATAATAAATATATGCTCATTTCCTTAAGGATAAAAATCTTTTAACAAAATTATTTCTATTTGTTACATTGATCCCTTATCTTTTACATGAACACGTAGTTTTCGCTATTCTAGTTATTGATTATAGTTAATGTAAAAATGTAAAGCAGAAAATTTAATGCAATAATTTTATTAAATAGGATTTAGTGACGATTTACTGTAATATTTTTCAAATCTTTTTCAATGATTTCGGGTTTACCTTGTTTAGTAATTATAGCCATCATCAACTTATAATGTATTAAACCGTGATTCAAATGTATGTAACTATGTAAATTTACGCAACAATTCAAATTAAATTAGTATTTAATTTCTTATTGTCCATTATTCGAATATTGTGGGAACAACAAAGTCATTTTATGGTATTTGAGGTGGACCTGCGTCTCCAGAATTATATCCAATCAGAAGTATGCGAGGCTCCACATACTTCATAAAAAGGTAGTAGTTAGTCTTGACCCCTGATTTCTGACATACGCCGTCGATTTTGAGGGTGTCTAACACCAATGAACTTATTATAAGATAAGTTTATCTCCACTTGGGTTTTGATATAACGAGTATGGAGTGGCGCTATAATAAAGGCGTTACGATTTTTCTAATAGGCAAGTAGGTAGGCCTTCTCTGCCTCACACGTCATCAAGTTTTTGGTTCTAAGGCATGCCGGTTTCCTAACTATGTTCACCTTTACTGTACGAGCGAGTGGTAAATGCGCACATAGATAGTTAGTAATTTGGTGCATAGCCGGGGTTCGACCTCAAAGGATGAGCCACTAGGCCAACGCTCCTTGAAAGAATGCGCGATTTTGTGTCGATTTGTTGTCATTCGACTATACTAGTCGTAGAACTCTAAGTACTAAGTACTCTCTAAGTACTAAATAATAATAATACATAAATTATTTGTTGAGTGTGCTCTTTATGGTGTTGGATTCATTGATTCTTTGTATTCGCATTGTAATAAGACGATTTAGCGAATATCAATAATTTCGCCTTTAACTTGCATAGACAAAAGTTTTGTTTTGCATTATGTTTACTCAAGTGGTTACTTTGTAATGTGAACAATTGGCAATTTTGTATAAACACGTAAATTCTCCCTGACAAACTGATAATTTTGTCATTTGTACTAGTACTGTGTTACCGTTTCGCATAAGCAAAATCTTATTTAAAAAATTCAAAATCATTTGTTCATTTAGGTAACATAATGTACACTTATGATCGTCAATAAAGAAAGACATATTAAATGCTAAATGCTTCTAATTTTACATTTACTGCCAGTTCTCAAATCAAGGGCGTAGAACGGACGAGAAGAACTGGCAGTAAACTCTCCGCCATTAAAAGTCTAGGTTCAACATTTTTGCGTGTAGCTGTCCGTTATTGTTTCAACATAATAATATATATATACAGTCACAACCGTTTACGACGACATCGTTTAGAACAACATACCGGTTATTTTGACCAAAATCAAAGGTCCCGGCGGAATTCTATTAATAACAACCTCATCGGCTATCGGTTTTAACGACCAAACATGACTAGTCCATTCGATGTCGTTATTATAGATTTTGACTGGCTGATTTGAATGGCTGCTAACCTGCTTGCAGTAAAACAAAGATCATAGAGATTTTCTTATTTTTAAATATAAATTAAAAATATAGACGAAGAAACAATAGGTATTTCATTACTATCATAGTCCGCTTATTTCTCATAGTGGGTATTTGATTCGACTTCATGATCAACAGTGTACAGTTAACAACATACTAATTTATAACCTATATACATCAATGCCTGCGGAAATCCAGTTGCGATTCTGATAATGACAAATGCATGCTGATAATGTCATATCCGGTTAGCACGCGATGCGTTGTTAATATCTAAAATCTATTTACACGTTTTAATTGTTAACTCTTTAATAAAGACCAATTAAACGATAAAAACTTATATATAATAATTAATTTTCTATTACAAAGTATCTTTTCGTCACCGAGCAGTGTTGGCTTAGTAGTAGCCTGTGCACCAATGGACTTTCTATATCCGCATTTATCAGCTAGTACGATGAAGAGAAACATCGTGAGAAAACCAGCATTCCTTACACCCTAAAAGTCGACGGAGTGTGTCAGGCATAAGGCTGTTCACCTACTTGTCCAAATGATTAAGAAAAATAAATTATCACGAAATAGATACAGAAATCTGAGGCCCAGAGCAGGTTTAAGGTTTTTTAATATATTTTCTTCAGTAGCTTTATTACGAACACAAACAGAACTCAACACACCAGAATCTCCCGTCACTTGACATCAGCATCAAGCTTGTGTGAACAGTAATCACAAGTGTTAGTTACAGTTCTTGTCTCTTGACATAAGTTCATATCATCCCATTCCAATGTTAAATGACTCCTCTACCAGGTGCTACACGTACCGGGATACGAAATCTTGACTATAAATACATAAAATAAGGAAAGTGTAACGGATGTAAATTTATTACGATGAATATGGATTAATATCATTTAAAATTTATAACCACTTTATAAAACAACTTTCACTCGTGTCGAGCGCTCGATTTCATACAAGGTTTAAAGCCATAAATGTTCGATAAAAATGTTAATATAAAATTACAAGCTTTTTTTAGCTAGTACGTTTAGCTAAAAAAGCTAGCTACGAGTGCCCTACCTATCCAAAAGAATGGCAAAAAATATGCCTTTTCATAAATTTAAATAAAATATGGGCGTAAGTGAACATTTCGGAATTTGTGCTAGCGTTTACGAGTCATGCATTTTAAATGTTATTAGTGACTTACTTATGACTCCCTGTTGTATAAATACACACTAATGTGAGTTTGTACAGGTCCATTAATTACTCTAATTAAGTAACTGTTTACCGCGGTTAAGAGACTGATTGTTGTGTAATTGTTTTAAAATAATTATATCTCCTTAGATATTAATTGAAATCAAATGTGGTCGATGGCAATTTGGTTCAAAATTAAGTACCTACTTGTGATTTTTTAATTATAGCTAAGGATTCATATTATCCCAAATAATGTGATGAAAATTTATAGCGTTTTATAGTTTTAATAAGTTAGACAGTAACGCAACAAATCTATAGAAGAATTTTGAACCTTAAGCAATCGATTTTTGTCACGCGGTAATATTGTATTTTGTAAAATACCTAGCAACGAATATGCATAATGATCTGCATGTTACAAGGTAAACATCTAATCCTAGTTATGTCATGGTGAATGAAGCTAAAATACTTTTATAAAGATATTTTGTCGGAAATTACACTATTCACTATGGTTCTCGTATGTCAAAACGTTTTTGATTTTAACATATAAGATAGTTCGTGACGATAAATTCCATTTTCCCAAATGTACAAAATTATTACCTAAACCGTCTAACAGACTAAATTAAAACAATATGACGTCAACCAACAAAACCATGCATTCGGAGTTAAAGTTAATATTGAAATTGCTATTAAAGTTTCAGGGTAAGCCTACAGGTAGCTTTTGTAAGTAAAACATTATCTTAAGAGTGGAATCTCGTAATCCACTTGAAACAAATTTCGGCTTCATTAAAAGTATTTGCCATTTCATTAATAAGTTTTAATATTTTCTGTCATACATACCTTTTAAACACATTCATGTGTAAGTACGTTACCCTTTGGGTCCAGACATGATTTGTGTACTGCATTACATTGGTTTCCTTAGGGTGACGGTTACTTAGCCTACAACAGCTTATTAAATGAAAATTCATACACTACAATGTAGGTAGTTTGTAAATTACTATAAATTAAATTTACGACGAAGTTAATTTTATTAGCTGTTAACGCACATGGTGTAATACTTGCTGATTTTGAATCGCGGCGATACAATAATTGTTTCGGTGGTTTGACAATATGTAGGTGGTAATTACATTGCACCATGGATGAGGATTCTTTATTCCAAACAGAATGTCCTGTGAAATGAATGTTGAATATTGGTAATGCAAAATACATAAGTTTTGGCACGTCACTTGGCAACCCTACGATAATTTTATTTGATATAGAATGTCCATGCGTGACTTGGACTTTCTACACTACATAAGAACGACCTCTGAGAACACTTTGAACACACAAATTTATAATAAGAAAGTATTAAAATATTATTTATCCCGCTAGCCATAAAAGTTGGTATAAATACATAATACTCTCAAAACTTTTATTTTAAAAGTTATACATTATATACAATATTCGAATTTCGATAGGGTTTTTAATATGGCATAATTAAGTATTGTTAAATTTGCAGATAAAATGGCGAGACGGTGGGTGGCATTCATAATGCTTTACGTGCATTTAGCGAGTTGCAACAATGAGAACAGTGTCAAAGATCCCACGCCAGCTGTCTACGAGTAAGTGGCTATTCAGATAAAGATATACTAGCGTGGAAGACTGTTTTTGTATTTGTCCTACTATGGTGTTGTTTCTTGGCCATCTCTGCAAGTGATGATTTTAAGTACTCATTTAAAGATATTAATCAGAGATAGTGTTTATTTGGCTTATGCAGTAGATGAATAAGTAAATCTAAAAAAATTGGATTGGAAAAAACAGTCTGTTAGTTTGGAAGGAGTTCAGTAGTACTAGAGAAAACTTGAATATTTGTACCACTTTAGGAGTATTTAATGTAATTAAGACTTTTAGACCTTTATAGGAAACTTGATCAATTAATTTTTGATTTTCCATATCCAAAATACTAGTCATAGCTGAAAGTCTAATGAACAAAGTTTACCTATTCATAAAAACGGAATCAATATAATTGATTTAAAGTACTCATTCGATTCAGTGAAATTATGTATTCGCTGTGATGAAGAGGTCAGTGCTTTATTTAAAACAGTGAAATTAGACTGATTGACTTTTCACCAATAAATGGTGATCTTTTCTATAAAAAGACACGCTATATAGATACACAATTGATAGCCAATATTTACTATAGACATTGTACGACTCCGTGCTAGTAGTAATTATGATATATTATTGTAGAACACGGGTGTCGGTTTTTCTACGAAAATGCCTGCACTATTTGCTGTTTATCAAACGCTAATAGAGAATTCATTAAGCATTATGGCATTTCAGACCATCGTGGACATACAAGTGCGTGCCAGACGAGGGTTGCCAACGATCACAGTCGCCTGAACCCACGGCAAATTATACGGGAACTGTGTATGAGAGCCTGGATCTCTGCCGGACGGTATGTGGCAGATTCGGGGGTATCTGGCCGCGACCAGTCACAGCAGCATTAAGCTCGCAGACCGTGAAGATACATCCGAATTACTTGAGGTAAGGGGAACCACTTGATTTATTTATATGTAATTTTTTTGACAGTGTTTGGTTACATAATATTGTGTTAGTAATACATGTTTAATTCAACTTTCTTTACCAGATGAAAACGCTAATTTATTACACAGTCCTTTAACGCATCAAGACTTTACACTTATACTTCTGTTTATATAATGTGTGTCCCAATTACCAGCTGGGCTACTTTAATATACAAATCTAGGACTAACGTATAATATATACTATAAACATTCTTTACTATACGTGATATTATTTATACATATTAGTATACTCGTACAGCCTACTAATAGGGTAAGTTAAGAGAAATTATATTTCTTTAACTTTCAAGTTTCGAAGTTAAGGTAAATTGAAAAATATTTTTTTGTAAATTTAATTCTGAGTAACCGAAGTGCTGAATTTTCGCCAACGGTTTTTATGTCCGATATTAAATAAATATGGGCGTCATTAATTATAACCTCTTTAGATAAAAGTACGTTCACTCTATTAAAACACCTGATAAGTTTGACGTTTATTTTCGTTGTCGCGACTCCCTTAACCCAGTTTACAAATAGAAAGTATTCTCGGAAAACAATTGAATATAAAGTTAATTTATTCGTACTTTGTCCCGTTTTCTCGTGACGGGTCTAACAGTGACATGTAATTAATTTTTACTTCAATCGCTAATGCATATAACCCATAAATTATAGTATTGAAATCTAGAACATACAAAATATTTTTTATGATAGATTTTTTTTTATTAGCGAATTACAAAAAAATCTAAATATGTCCACCATTTTTATAAAACTAATAAAGCCTGTCTTAATCCTGTAAAATTTTCTTTTATTGCTCAAATGACTTTTACGACATTTTTATGTTTACTCCATTACAGCTAGACGTGTTGCTTTATTGCTTTTAGTTGACTGAGATCTCGCATTGATAGCACGCAAAAAGAGATGCATTTCCTAGGAATTTTTTAATAAATTTTTAGTGATGTTTGCTAAATATTATAAAAGTCCATATTTTCTTTAATAATACCACATATTTTATATAAAGCTAAATAGATACACATATCGCTTCTTGATAATGTGATATAATGTCTGCGACGTAAATTTTAAATACTACATTATGTGTTATCAATTTCCGCTAAATTAAAAAGCTTGAACAATTTGTCTAGATAAGTTAACTTCATTTAAATATAATTTGTCATTGATTACAATTATTTTAAAGACCTTTGACCGTCTTCGTTGTTTAGTTGGGTTTTCAAATAACCTTTTGGTGCAGCCTTATCTGATGTTAAGTGATATCACTGCCCATGAACAGTAACATTGGTGTAAGCCTCGTGAGCGTTTTGTTTTTTTTAATTTGTATTTTTATAACTGAGAGCAGCGTTGGCCTATTGGCTTCAGCGTCCGACTCTCATCCCTGAGGTCGTAGGTTCGATCCCCGGCTGTGCACCAATGGACTTTCTTTCTATGTGCGCGTTTAACATTCGCTCGAACGGTGAAGGAAAACATCGTGAGGAAACCGGCTCTTCTTAAAGCCAAAAAGTCGACGGCGTGTATGTAAAAAGGTTCTAGCGCCTTTGATTTATTTATATATGTAACTGGGAGCAAACGAGCAGGAGGCTCACATGATGTTGAGTGATACCGCCCAGAGATATTCACATTTCCAGACGGTTCGCAAGTGCGTTGCCGGTCTTTTACGAAAAACCTTCCAGGACGAAATTTAAAATTTTTACGGCATGTCAGTTTATCGCTTATAATACGTATTCGAGACGATAAATTGTTTCACAGCTTTGGTCTATTAATACAGAAGCAATCGTCAACAACTATGTCGTAGTTGTGACGTTACCCAGCGTCAGTGTGCCGTTATAAATAGACAGACGAACTCGAGACACCTGTTATGTAATTTCTGTGTAGTATTTACGAAGACCTACTTAGTGATACTTAGTGCTTGGAAATCATTTGGAAACTAGATTTGATAGTTGAATGAAAAATATGATTGTCTATGACTATGTGATGACGCCTTATTAAACACCTAGTGTGGATACCATCGTCTGTAATTCAACAGTACATTAATAATAAATAATCAATAAAGTTTTTTTTGCAATAATTATATAACTTAGCTATATGAGTTGACGTGAGTAGGGCTTGTTAATTGCAAAGTGGAAAACGGCCATGATAAATATATTACAAATACCGGCAGGCGGCAAACATCTTGAACAAATGTCCTTGCCTGCGCAGAAGCGATTTTTAGTATATTTTTGTAAATCATTTTACGTTTGTGTCCTAGATGCGCAATTTTTCCCCTACTCCCTTGTTTAATGCTCAAGAAGTTTGCCGGTATCTGTACGTAGAGTTTTAATTTATTTACTTGTAGTTGTCATTTATAAAACAAACATTATTAATTTGCGAGTTTAAGCGATCTGTCTTAAAAACCCAAACAGTTATAATTCGAGTTTTTTATTGGACGTATTTCCATAATATACAGTGGGTTACACATTATTTAGGAAATCAAACGTAGGTTGCCTGATTAGCCACGAAGACGAAAATGATTTATATATCGTGCCAATCAGATACAAACGTTTTTCAATTCTACTATAGTCAGACATACTCCCAACCCTATTAGTTAGTAGATTTCTTTTTATTCAATAAATATAACAAAATTGAAAATTACAATAGGATCTAAACCAAAACAAATTGGTCTTATTGCAGCTCATTATTTAAAAAAAATGTTTAAAATTTTATAGTAAGGTGTTAGCTATCTGTATAAAGAAGTTGTACGGGTTGTATAAAATGTTTATAGTTTTTAAATAAGAATTTCGAGCTACAGATAATGGAGAACACATCAAAGAACTTTAATCTCGTTTTGCTTCAAAACATGTTCATAAATCATTCTAACGTATACAGTTGCCACAGCCCTAATTACTATTCAATTGTAAAAGTAGTATACAAAGAGATACACCAAAATTATTATTATTCTCAAATTATAATGTAAGTAGTTGGATGGTGTTCGCTTTAAACTTTTGTTTTCGTACTGCGTTCACGACTATATGGCGATCTTCACTTGATTTTGAAGATTTGTACCATTTTCGAAATCATAACATATATACGAAATATATCGGTAGTGAAGAACTTCAGATCGTTATTGATATAGCTACTAGGAGTTACACAGTACTAGCTAGTACCTCCGCAAGTCTTTAGACTTGTATTATTTATAATAAGAGTGTGTGTATTCGAGACTGGTGGAAAATCGCAATTAAAAATATCAAAATCATTTATTCATATTGGTAACACAATGTACACTTATGAACGTCAAAAAGGAAATATATGTTAAATGCTTCAACTTTTACATTTACTGCCAGTTCTCAAATCAAGGTCGTAGAACGGAAGAGAAGAACCGGCAATAAACTCTCCGCCACTCTTTATAATGTTTGTAAGGAGCTGCAACCATTACAACATGCTCCATATGACATCTTAAGTAATTATAGTTAATTAATAATAAAATAAATTAAAAACGAAGATTTGTCCTCTATCAGTAGGAGGCATGGTGAAATTGTGACGCACTTACATTCTCGTGGGAACAACATGCAAATAAATAGTCGAAATTATCGACCAATTACTTGCATTTACAAAAAAAAATCGACGAATTGTACAATGTACATCACTTGTTGATTTTTGATGTCACTTTAAAATATAACGAATGAACAGTAACGACTCGACTTTTATAGTAGTGAAATAATTGCGATAGGAAATTCATACGCAGATCTTGATACGGCTTTACGCATTTTCTAGTCAAAATATCGTAAAAAATATTCTAGCGAAACTAATATTTGTATTGTGTAACAAAATTTCGCCCACTACGATAAAATTAGATTCATTTATCCTATACGAGCTCTTGGACGGAGCCCAGAAAATAAAAAGTATACGCGAGCCCTTTTAAAAGTGATCAAAGTTCAATGGCCCGATTGATTGCGATGTCTGTATTTTGATACCTATTGACGCACGCTTCACCTGCATTATTAGGAGTTCGTTATTTACTAGAAATGAAAAAAATAAAACGCATGGTGATTATTTTTAAATTTCCATTAGTATCTGAGCTACTTGCCTGAACTAAAACATTTTATCAGAACCAAAGTAAAATGTAAAGGATGGATAGAATGTTGTTTAAAGATCTAACCTTCTTGTCTATGGGTTTATTTCATATAAGATTCGATTTGAGAGGCATAACTTTAGATGTATCACTCGAACTGCGAACAGTAGGTAGACGTCGAACATATCCACAATATCTAAAAGTCATGAATATACATAGTTATTTTTATCTTAATAAAGTGACTCACAATAAAAAATAAAAAACGGTACAATAAACTGTATGCCACAGGCCTTATATAGGCAACAAACAGACTGAGTTTCGTTTATAAAAGCAATATTTCACATGAAGTTCAAATCGTAGGCGTCTCGAGGGCATTGTCCTCAAGTTTGTTCATAGAAAGTCCATAGTTATTTGAATATCGAACTAACATCAGGTAACGGATGATCAAATACCGCTAATAAAAAATTAATATCCAAATATGTTAGTAGGTCACGGTCTGCACATTCACCAGAGCAACGTAAAATTAAGAAGATGATAAACACGTTCTGTGCGGATATTAAGTATATAATGACAATCAAAAATACTTTTACTGTCTTTGGTAATGTTAAACATTACGGGGTTTTCTGTCATAAATATTTACGCCAAACATTCAAAATTTGATAGATTACCTTCCTTCTTTTAACTTAAGTACACAATCGCGCTAATAATATTAGATTTAATTAGACATCGAGCTGTAGATTATTAGTAATAACCACTCCTAAATACACATAATTATATCACCAACTTCTATGATTCCAGGTTTGATCTGATCGATGCTCCGGTAGAGACGAGAGAACTTTTAGCTAAAATGACTCAAGTAACGGCATCAAATTTATTAGACGAATGTGATGGCAATGTAACTGATGTAGTCAAAACACCAGTTATTGTCTATATCACTATCAAGACACCGAATACAGACCTCACCTGGAGTACTGATGAATCATATATGCTGGATGTTCAAAATAAAGGTACACTTTTATATGTACAATATTATTGTTAATAGTTGTGACGTAAACGCAAGAATAAATATAGAAAACAATTGAGGGTAGATGCTAGTTAACTAATTGATTGTAAATATTCTAATAAATGAGTGCTTGCTTTATTTTATAAGGATTCCTTTGATGCGGTGATAATTGGTAAATATGGGTAAAGGACCTTTATTGACATTTAGACTCAGGTCGTAGAACAATTAATAATTAACATTGTATAATGTATAGGAGTCGCATGTAAGTTCAAGAGATCATGAAACAATAAAAATAATAATAATAAAAGTAATACCTATTTGTTACGTAAATAGTATGGAATTAAAGTGGCTTTATTATTATTTAGGAGTATACAAACTAAATATTTTCATCATTGAAATTTGACAATTACAGAAGCGAACATTGCCGTGCACATATCATCTGAAACAGTGTATGGAACACGAAATGCATTGGAGACATTCACACAACTAGTCACAGCAGATAAACCAGACTACACAGATCATTCTAAATGTGGCCTCCGACTCATCTCGGGAGCAAAGATAAGGGACAAACCTGCATTTCCTCATAGAGGTTTCATGTTGGATACCTCAAGGAATTTCATACCGATAGAAGATATAAAGAGAATGCTTGATGGTATGGCTGCCACGAAAATGAACGTGTTTCATTGGCATGCTACTGATACTCATAGTTTTCCGTTGGAGTCATCGAGAGTTCCGCAATTCACGAGGTTTGTTATAATTATTTTGCAGATAAGTATTGACCTTAATAAAAAGATAAATCAACAATATCACTTACGTATAGGAACATTTAAATATGCGTTTTTAATCATATGTAACTTTATAATTGTTATAATCTTAATCTTAATATATATAAATCTCGTGTCACAATGTTTGTACTCAATGGACTCCTAAACTACCGAACCGATATCAATCAAATTTGCACACCGTGTGCAGTTTGATCCAACTTAAAAGATATTATTTTATTTCAAATATTTGTTTATTATATGATACAATTCTAACAGATGGCGCTGTGTTAAAAGTACCAACGTTTCACATAAGCTATCTACCTTTCACATAAGTTCTCCTACCGTTTCCCTTTAATAGTTTACTACTATGTAATATAAAAAAAACGTTAGCCACAGCAACGCTCGGCCGGTCTGCTAGTATGTATTATATATGACTCGGTGGACATTTTCAGCAACCCCTTGAAGACCTTGCCGAGTGTTTTAGCAACCATTTGTTTATATTTACTGTTATTTTATTATATCTTTCGCTTTGTTATATTCCTACCTAATTGCTATTTATGTTTTTACATTATATTTTCGCGGACCTTTTCCTTTATATTTTCGAAACAAAAAAACCTTCTCTTCGAGAATGAGGTTTTTTGGGCTTTTTTTATAGAACGGGGGGCAAACGGGCAGGAGGCTCACCTGATGTGAAGTGATACCGCCGCCCATGGACACTCTCAATGCCAGAGGGCTCGCGAGTGCTTTGCCGGCCTTTTAAAAATTGGTACGCTCTTTTCTTGAAGGACCCTAAGTCGAATTGGTTCGGAAATACTTCAGTGGGCAGCTGGTTCCACATAGTGGTGGTGCGCGGCAAAAACTGCCTTGAAAAACGCTCAGTTGTGGAACGGCGGACGTCGAGGTGATATGGTTGGAATTTCGTATTCCGTCCGTTTCGTGCCTCGACGTCCGATGATGAAACTCAGCTGCAGGTATTAATCCGAACAACTCCTCTGAACACTCTCCATGGTAAATGCGGTAGAAGATGCAGAGTGACCCCACATCTCTACGCAACGCCAAAGGATCAAGCCGCTCGGAGAGGGATTGGTCGTCGACGATTCGAACCGCTCTGCGTTGTATACGGTCAAGTGAAAGGAGCTGGTACTGGGGAGCCCCCGCCCAGAGGTGAGAGCAGTACTCCATGTGGGGCCGAATTTGCGTTTTATATAGTTGTATGCGGTGGCCCGGAGTGAAGTACTGTCTCGTCTTGCTGAGCACACCAAGCTTTTTGGAGGCTAATTTAAACATGAATAAATATTTACATTTACTACTTTTTTATTTACTCTAACTTTCGTACGTTCAAGTTAATAGATGCGTCTAATAATATAGGAACAAAAAGTGAATAATATCAAGACAATGGCGGCGTAGATGCAGTTAGTATGAAAGTGACGAAAGAGAAGAAACTTTAATTAAAACAGTGTACTATGACCTCCTTTGATATTTTATTTTAGATACGGAGCGTATTCAGCGTACGAGATTTACACAGCGGAAGAAATCCGTGAGTTGATAAATTACGCGCGAGTGAGAGGAATCAGAGTTGTCATAGAGATTGACTCTCCTGCCCACGCTGGGAACGGTTGGCAATGGGGAAAGGTAACTAAAGCTTAAAATGGCTATTGTCATTATTTTGAGCAGAGATAATTTTAACTGTAAAATTGTAAAACTTACAATGCAAATACATATTAAAATACTTATTTATCAAAACGACTAAAGGAGAAGCCATACAGTGACTCTTTATATCTTAGCACATTTTGATATTTTTGATTACGAAATTGGAATGTATAATGGCAACATTTCATAGAGAATAATTAATTATATGTTAATTATTTTTAGACTAGTCATTGAGCCATTCAGACTACGCCTTTTCCTTCCTTTTATACAAAATTATTTGTAGTCTAAGAGAATAAACAAAAAAATATTGATGAAATCACAGTTGTATTGCACATTTGGATTTCAGGAATATGGTTTTGGTGATCTCGCGGTGTGCGCTAATAAAAATCCGTGGAGATCATTCTGTATCCAGCCTCCGTGCGGTCAGTTGAATCCTGCTAATCCAAATATGTATAAAGTTCTTCGAGACCTGTACAAGGATATAGCCGAGATGTTGGCTAAGCCCGCTCTGTTTCACATGGGAGGGGATGAGGTAAGGGTTTTTTGGATAGTTAAAAATATCGGTATATTGGTTTAAGCTGGTTATTATGGGATTAATGAACATCACACTATATTATGCTTTATGAAGAATTAACGTTCTTGTTCATACGGTAAAAGAAAATATCGGAATGAAATCGCAACGACGAACAGCACAGAAGGTAGATGTCGATAAGGAGATAGTGTAGAGTCTGATCTCATCTAGCGTACTAAATATTTATTATTATTTTTATACATACACTATCCTTACAGTACTAAGCCAATACGATAATGTCGAAATTAAAATTAAAATATTAAATACAAAGGGGACACAACATCGCTACTGTGAACTCATATATATATATATATATATATATTCTATATTTTGTTGAATTTATTTTGATATTGTTTGTAAGTCCGTGTCATTGTTAATTGATAAAACAGCAAATATATAAATGTAATTGTATCAGAAAAAAATCTCATAAACGGCTTACCCTAGTAAAATATACTATAAATATTGGTGACTTTATGTACGTATATATGTGTGTCTACGTTTGTGTGTGTGACCAAATCGATATCATTTCTATGTTAGGAACCGAATCGAGGACCGAGGTTACGTTTGTAAATCAAAAAGCCAGGTTTATCAAAATTGTCTGTTTAACTACAATTATACCAAATAATTTCAGGTATTTATCGAATGTTGGAATTCGACCCAAGATATAGTCACGTATATGGAAAATAAAGGTTACGAGAGAAATGTGGAGGGTTTCATTAAGCTATGGGCAGAGTTCCACTCAACGGCTCTGCAAATATGGGACGAAGAATTGGCAGAATCCGGACAGAACGACCAGCCCGTGATGCTTTGGTCTTCGGAGTTAACACAAGCGCATCGGATACAAAAGTACTTAAATAAGGATAGGTAAGTTATTTAAATATTTATTTAATCTATTTTCACTTATATTTGAATGATAAGTATTGTAAAATGGATTTAATTTACTTAAGAGCTTATATATATATGTCGCAGTAAAGTATTTAAATCAGAGTGTTAATTGAATCTCTAGATAGTAAATTAAAGACCGGTATTCAATCAAGTCGGTAAAGTTCCGTCAGACAAGTGACGGAACGAAACGTTTAACGAGTTTCCTAAACGTTCCTAGACAACAAGACGCATTTCAAGTTTGGTAGGGTGACCAAGATATTTGATTTGAAAAAATATATATTTTCCTATATATATTGTCGTATATATTCTTCTTCGATCTTTAATTAAATGTCTAGAGATTCAATTAACTCTCTGATTTAACTACTTTACTGCGACATATATATATTAAGTTTTGTATGAGAAATGAAAATCTTTGTTTTTACAACAGATTTTTTTATACGAATACTAGCTGAACTGGTAAACCTTGATTTGCTAGTGAATATTTTGGTTGTAACAATAACGCTATCAAAAACTGGGGTTAGTGATAAAGTTTAAAGCTATGTATTTTTTAAGCCAAATCATAAATTATCCAAAAAATTTACCTGTAATTTCATAAAACCTACCTAACAGCCCTCATTTAAAAAAATCCCAGTTTCGGAGGAGTTTTGTTTCAAACAGTGTGACAACACATGTATGAATATCGATATGTAACTTATAAAGTTCAAATAAGAAATGCATTTTGCTCATAAAATACCAAGAAGCAACATTTAATATAGTTTAAATTAATTCTGTTAATCTAATCTACTTTTACAATATTCACAACAATTAAACCGTTTTATCACTAAAAAGCAACCTCTCATTAGATGTCAATCATTGACAATGAGCTGTCAGACGTCAGCGGAGACGCGGCAAATTTAAACTATATTAAAATTACTAAACTAGTGCAATGTTTTAATTCAGAACAGTTTTACTATGTAAAGAAAACTACTTCGTAACGTAATTTTCAAAATGAAGTTCTTTCCTTATTGAATATTTTGTGAAACTTATACTACTTGCTGGACATAATTAGTGATTTCAGTGGCATGTGCATTTTGTATTGCCGATGGATCTCAAACTCAAAATAACTTTATTAATAATGGGTAAACAAGTACACTTATGAACGTCAAAAAAGAAGTTAAATTAATTGTAAATTTACATTTACTACCAGTTCGCAAGTCAAGGGCGTAGAGCGGGCAAGAAACTTTCTGCCACTCTTTTTAATCGCTAAGTTTTGAATCATACAAATTGTTTGAACTGGAGCAAATCAATCCGAAGGATTAGGATTATTTAAATATTCGTCAACTTTATAAAAAGCTTTACTGATTAATTTACGTTTAACGAAGGCTTTGAATTTATTTAGTGAAAATTCTCTAATTTCGCTTGGGAGTTTGTTGTAAAAACGAATACAATTTCCATATAAGGAGTGGTTTATCTTCTGGAGTCTGGTTGATCGTACACTCAATAAATCATGCTTCCCTATATCTTATGATGAAATATGAAATTTATTTTTCAGATACGTAATAGAAGTATGGGAACCTCTATCTAGTCCCTTGCTTACCCAACTCCTCAGACTCGGGTACAGAGCTGTTTCCGTCCCTAAGGACATTTGGTACTTGGATCACGGTTACTGGGGGAACACTAAGTACTCAAACTGGAGAAGGATGTATTCCAATGTGTTGCCAGTTGATGCGAACATGTTGGGTGGGGAGGTCGCCATGTGGAGTGAATATGTGGATTCACAGGCTTTAGGTGAGAATAATATTTTAGCAATGTTAAAGCTTATTTAAATGAAACTTTTTGAGCGCATAAATTTATTTATTAACCTATTTTCAATTAATAATTTACATTAACTAATTTTATTTACTAATATAATAAATTATATACATTTACGAGTTGCAAATACAACCTTAATAGATGGTGTTAATATGGGAACGTTGTAATGGACTCAAATTATAATAATTTTTGAAATAGATATTTATTTATTTCCGAACTCTTTAAAAAATTATATCGTCTCTAAAATGCTTTAAAAAGTATTATACCAATATTTCTTATTTGTATTCTTTGGTCGAATTTTGCGACTATGACATGCGTGTTCACCGTACAAGCGAGACTAGCAAACAATTGTCCATTGCTGCACAGCCGTGATTCGAATGAATGACCCTAGGGTTTAAAGTCCCACGCTCAAGCCACTAGGCCAACACAGCTCTTCTTTTTATTCGAACCACAATTAGAACAAACACATGTTGATTAGAAATATAATCGGTGTGTGTCGTGTTGTGCAATCAAATAATTAAACAACAATAAAAAATAAGGAATAGATTTATATGTATTAAACTACAATTTTTTTGTATTAAATTATAAAGCGTTTCTCGTAGAAAATATTAAATTACGTATTTTATACCTATTAAATACATTGCCGTCAAAAATTTGTAGTATTCGATAAATTTAAGCAGTAATTAAATATACACACTCTGCGTTTAGAAGACATAGGTTACAATATGGTGCGTACAATCCTTATAATAATTCTCATTCGTTAATGTAATTTCATTAAACGTTTTGCATACTTTATTAGACACCCGAGTATGGCCGCGGGCCGCAGCTGTGGCTGAGCGGCTTTGGTCCAACCCCAGTTCGAGTGCCAGTGTTGCCGAACCCAGGCTTCAGCGGCTGAGATCTCGACTGGCTGCCAGAGGAATACCTTCCGATGTCCTGTCACCAGGCTGGTGTTCACAACATGATGCACGGTGTCTATAGTTATATCTGTGTTTGAAGGAAGAAGTTTAAAAATTAGGAACATTATAAGATATAAATAAAATATCCCGTTAGGACTTAGGAATTATGTGTTTGTTCAAAGAAGAATTAAGGGAATTTTAAACCTCAAATTATATCTGGAATATAACTGAAGTATTCTCCGAAGAAGGACAAAGAATCTAACTTTAAATGGATTCTCATGAAATTCGTTTTTTTTCTAACTAAAACATGGCCATAGTGATTCAATTATTAATAATTGAGCGATTCAAAATTTGTTTGGATTACATTTCTCACTACAATCCTGATTACATTTCACATTCAACATAACTCAACGTAACAATTAACTAATTGTTAATTAGTAGTAGTATAATTAATTAATTGGTGAATTAGTTTTTATTTATTTTTATTTATTTATTTATTTATTTATTTATTTATTTTCTCACAAAAACTTAAACTTAGAACATAGGCAAGTGACAGTTATATTCTCACTTCTGTTAATGGAAAAAGCAAGTCTGTCAAGTTAATTATAGATATAAATTGCTACTCACGGTTTAGTAAAAGTAATGGTCCAGGGTTCTGTTGTCGGTGGGAAAATATTTCCAAACATTCGATGATATGTCTTTACCCTATGCCTCAGCAGAGGCTTACGGAATGTTACACTAAGAAAGGGTTCTTAAGTTTGAATCCCGGAAAAAGGCTTATCAGATATACATACAAGCGAAACACTATACTTTGAAATAAGGACCATTTAAATCTTTTATGCATTTTTTGTAAGCTTTTAAAAAAAAATTAGAATACAAACATTTAATTATTTTTGTACATAATTTAATCCTATTTAAGATTGTCTATGTCATAATATACATGCATCTTCGATAAGAATATTTTGTCATTTTCATTACTGAAGGGTTTTAATTGCTAGAATTATAGGGACAAAATAACGGACTTCGATAAAATTTTGCCTGTTCCCTGAGTCGGTATGATAAATCAAATAAGGTATTTTAATAATTTTGTGGACAGAAAATTACGAAATGTGCTTAGAAATCTAAAGAAATACAAAAATATTTTCCGATTCCAACAATATTACTTACAGGTCGAATAACTTCCGGTGGGTAACTTGTAGTCGGATAAAATAGCTATTTGAGACATTCTGCCCTGCGATTCTGTAACTCACTTTTCGAACTCACACAGCGGTTTTCGCATCGGCGGTCGCTCTCAAATCAGTCGTGAAGCAGTCATTTTATGATTTGGCATTCTGAAAAGGTGGGAGCTTGTAGTTTATTGTTTATCAGAATGCCAAATCATAAAATGACTGCTTCACGACTGATTTGAGAGCGACCGCCGATGCGAAAACCGCTGTGTGAGTTCGAAAAGTGAGTTACAGAATCGCAGGGCAGTACGTTTATTGAGTGATAAGCGAGAGAAGTGCAACGTGATAATAATCATAGGAATGTTATTAATTAAAATTTAGAAGGAAATTCAACGTAAACGCGTTAGATTAAAGTTCAACTCTTTAACGCGCCAAGGTAATGTTTATTTTATAAGAATTTTTATAAAATAATATCCCTTAGATATGAAAATATGAATATCGAAGACACAGAATTAAGACTGATGACTGGTGTTAACTTATTTTATATTGTTTAAACGTCGGTATTTTAAATGTACTTTAACGAAATTTGATACGTACATATAATTATATAACTGTTATCGGATCGTATTGAAAAATTGCCGCATTGGTTGTACTATATCGTATTTGTATTTTGTGAAAAATTGCCGCATTGGTTGTACTATATCGTAGCTGTATTTTTGAAAATGTACCAATCCAAAGTCTCCTTTAAAATGTTAATAAAGTTTTTTAAATTCAAATAAGGAAACCCAACAATGCATCAACCCATCACTTAAAGCAGCAACAAATTTATTTCTACCATGAGTTAACCTTTATAACCTTATTCATAAGAGAAATCAGTGTAAATACATGGTTACAATTAAAAGTCTCTTTCATTCAAATTGTGTTTACTCTGTGATAAAAAGAGACGGATGGGAACTAGTTAAATCTCGGTGCAAGTAGAGTGCTAGTAACGATTTTTCATATAATTATATGGTCCACACGTTACCAGTAGTACTTACTAATCAAGCTTCATAAAGTTGTAATTTAAATGTAATTAAATTAATTACATTTAAATTATTATTAAATAATTATTAATAATTATTTTTAATTATTTAATTTAATTTTAATTTTATTGTCTCTATAGACATTTATTACTTAACTTAGACATCATATTTGTATGTTAATTATTGTGTTAGGCAGTTTTGTATCTACATTTTTGTACGAAAAGACATTAAATAAATTAAAACTAAATTTGTGTTTTATTATTTATTCTCTACTAAAATAACATGTTACTAACTTATACTATATTAATATACATCGAAGCACTACCCGCTATCTACAACGGCTCAAATACGTGTAAAAATAAATATCTACAATACACAATAGAATGACTAGAAATATTTTTTTCAACTACACTTAGAACGTTTATTTATTGTTTTGGTATCAACTTACAGCATTGTGTTTCAAAGAGGCAAATATAATTTTTCCTATCTGGTCTATAGGTCTATTGTGCGAAAGACTAACTTCAGGAGAGACACACGCATCACATAGCACACGATAGATATTTTGGTCTGAAGCCTAAAATATTTGATGGAATTGTTCAATGTCAACAAAATTCACATGATGTTACTTCTCATATTACGGTCATTAGGTATATTTTTCGCTGTTCCCATACTGAGGTCATTCGGTACTAAATCGTGAAGCACGGTGTCACTGCGAAATATACTTGTCGCTATTCGATTAGCTAGTCTCTCTGACTCTCTCAGATCGTCGTCTTTGGAGTGAGACGTAAGGTCTATTTCTGAGTCGCTGTCACTGTCACTCTCTTTGTCTCTTCTCGGGCGATATGCTAAGTTTTGTGGCTCTTCTGGTACACAATGGCAATTGTTCTTTGTTGGGACTCGTAGGTCTGTTGGAACAATGTCTGTGCTGTCTATGGGAGGCATCATTAAGGGGGAAAAGTATGGTTGTTGCATCATCCTTCCATCTTCGGTTGGGTAAGGCATAGGTGGCATTTCGTGTGGTGGCATTTGCGGTGGGTGTTCCTGCATGCCGCCATTATACATTTCCGGTCGAGGGGACTTGAGCTCGCCGTTATTTTCTAGGTGAGGTTCGGGTGATTTATTCGATGGCGAATCAGTGCGTTCTGGTGAAGAGTCAGGAGGTTTACCGTGACCTGAGAAAATTAGATTGAAACTAAATGATACAATTTTTTTCAATTATGAAAGCTCTAAATGCTGGAGATTCACAAAATAAGCTTATCCACAACTTGAATTCCTACAATAGAAATTTATATCACGATTTGTAACAATAATCAACTTCATTTATCTACGACAAATATTATAGTAAACGTCAATTTTTACGATCCGAAATAGATAGTTGTTTCAATACGAACCTTTCAGTTATATGCAAAATATAAAAAAACCTCCAAAAGTAAACATTTTCACTATATATTTTAAAATATCGGAATGCCTATATCTACTGCCTATGTTAATAATCACAGCTGATAGAAAATATCTTATAATGATAATTCGATCTATGTTCTGGTCTAATCATAATATTGTGTCTACTTAAATAGGCGAAGCTGATAAGCGTATCTAAGACACTTACCAGGCATTCCAAGAGGTGGAGTCCCTAATCCCAGACAACGCATTCTCCACGCGTCTTGAAGAAGTTGCAGTCGTGCCTGTTTTCGCCACTTCGCTCTACGATTTTGGAACCATACCTAAAATTTAATATATATTTTCAGAAATGGAGAAGAAAGTAGAATAACTATGAATTTATTAAATAAAAATATCGATAAAAATCAATAAAATAATAATAATTCCATTCTCTTATATAATATAGTTTTAAGAATCATTTATTATACGAAATCAATGACAGAGTATTACGTGAATTTACGGACATTTAATTAAAAACTCATGAGGATTGAAATATATAAGCTATAGATAGAAAGTTCAGTCCTTATTGTTTAAATTATTCTGTAAGATTTAAAGTAGAACTAAAAAAAGAAAAAACTCGAAAAGTATCTTAGTATTTTGTCCAGTGGCTTAGCTTTTTGGCATTTAAAATTTGTATTAAACAATCTAGGATAATAAAGCAGATAAAAAAGCAGACGGTGCATTGTGTGGGTGAAATTAATTTGAGCGAAAATTAATTTCGTAAAAGTAATTGTTTTTTCTGTTAGCACTAATATCGATTGGATACGATTTTGTCGAATAGCTTATTATATTATGAATATATGTGTTTTTGTTTCATCCTACAACAATAAGTTAAATAAGGCCAGTTTAATCAATTACAAACTCGGAACTTACTTGCACTCTCGCTTCCGACAGACTTATCCTCAATGCAACCTCCTCTCTTAAAAACACATCAGGGTAATGAGTTTTCTGAAACAACGATTCTAGTTCGCTCAGCTGTTGAGGTGTGAACGTCGTTCTATTGCGTCTTTGTCTTCGCCGCCCAAACATGTACTCCGTCAGCAAATCACCCGGCAAGGGTGACAAATATGGCCCTGCCATTTCGCTACACACTTGTTTTCAAACTAAAGAAATCGTCTCATATTTTGCGTGTCACGATTTAGCACAAAACTTCTTCACGAATATCACAGTATAAATGATCTCCTATGTGAGATAATCCGTGCTAGACTGTTTGCGTTTGCCGGGATGCAGTGGTGAAAATCCACCGGGCTCCTCCCCTCGACAATGGACTTGAGGTGTGCGATTGGCTGAGCGCGGTAGGGGTTGGAGGAAACAGCCAATCACGACACTGTGTTGAGGGTAGTATTTCGAATAGGTGTAGATTAAGTTATGCCCGTAAATATAAATTCTGTATAAACGCGGTTAATTTAACTCCGTGCCAGTTAATGAGATATCGGTTGTCAATGCTCTAATTAAAATGTAATTACGAACGAAGTTATTAATTTGTTAGCTTATGCAGATGAGTTAATGCGTTTTAATGTTAGAGTTTTAATTAATTGGATTTCAACCCTTACTTTGATGTAAAAAATATATGGATCTTGTAAATCTTTATAGCGTAATTCATACTTATCTTACACAGTAGCGGTAATATTTTCGAGTTATACTCAAGACACATATTCACAATATTTCTTACCTACGTAGTAATAATAATAACTAAAAATGGATAAATAGAAAAATAAAATCAATTTAAAAAGTTTGGTCCTCACTGTATTGTGATATTTATTCGTTGAGCGTTGAGGAATCAATAAAAATCAGAGTCTTAATATATATCCTATTTATTTATTTCTTGTGTATGTATTTATCGTGTGAAATGTATGTAATTTATTTAGAGTTATAGTGAACAAGGAGGTTACTTAGAGATTTATTTAAAGATAAATATTTTTTTCCTTACAGCTAATAGACATGATAACTCTTAAACTCTTTGTGGTTATTATTCTGTTATTTATCACAATCTAAAAATATTTTATGATGTATTCATCTTAATAATAATGTATTCATCTTAGTAATATTCAGATTTTATTTTAATAATGTAAACGTATGGTCATTTTTATATTACATAAATTTGAAATGATTAAGATATACATAATTTATTATCCTATTAAAAATTATTCTAAATTTATGTTTAATAATATTTTAAAACAACTAAGTTTTATACTAAGTACAAAACAGCCTTTAAACCAAATAACAATATTAGCAGGTAGCAAATTTTTCTTCCTAAGAGCAATTTACACTTGGTGAAGAAAACATAGAAAGCCATTACGATGTAGCCATGCAATGGCATGGCAGGTATTACCAACTTGCCTATGATCACATGAAGTAATTTGTAAATAGATGCCAAAGCCAATCAATGAATGAAAGGAAATAGGTGCTAGAATGTGGAACTTTAATTTATACTGAACTTACCTCACATTTTGCTTTTGTTTCTATAGAACGTAAACGGGCAGGAGGATCACCTTATGTTCAGTGATACCGCCACTCTCAATGCCAGAGGTTTCACGAGTTCGTTGCGTTACCGGCTTTTTAAAAATCGGTACACTTTTTTCTTGAGGGACCCTAGGTTATATAAATTTCCAGTTACATTTTTGATTTTGTGTCCCGTCTTGAAAATAAAAATTTAAAAAGGTCTCTTTAACTGATTTTAACATCGAAAACACTAGCGTCGACAAGAGTACCAAAGTAAGTGTAAAGGTAAGTGAAAAAGTAAAAAAAACAGTAGCTATTAACGACTTTATCGGAGTGTAGTGAAATCTGGTAAGTGGGTTGCAGATAACGGAAACAGCGATTACTAGCAAATGAATGTCCCACAACCACCCGTTTTCAGGGTTGCTATTGAAAGCCCGACCTGTTTCGATTTTTGCATTCTGATTCCTTAATATTCCTTTTTCAAGTTTCCAAAATTATTTACCTCCTTACTAGAATCACTAATAAAAAAAGAAATAAATGAAGAAAGAAATAAAAAGAACAGAAAGAAAATATTTTTGTAATGAATGACGACGCTTCGGTGGACGGAAAAATTGTGACTAATTTATGTTCCACCGTCACGTAATTGTGTGTGTTTTTAAATTACATATTTTAGTACCGAATTTCAGTTACCTTAATTTGTCGATAGCTCATCATTACATGTTATTGATTGGTAGTCCAGTAGACACATGACCCATCTTTCTGTTTTCTATCAGGCGGTATCTTTTTACTTTTGTGGTACAGTCTCAACTCCCTGCACTGGACCCTGTAATTTCCAATAGCGTTCAGAATCCCGACGGGTTTTTATGCAATTTTTCGTATATCAATATCCTAGCACTATCGCAACCATGATAATGTGTGGTACACTCACGATATTACGGTATCGCAATCGCTATCGCTATTGAGAGTAACAGAGTACCAGCACTTGTCTGAGCGAACTCAAAACCTCCCTTTTTTTTTACGCGTACAATTATTTTTCCATGTAATAACTTATACTCAAAGGAATGTTTGAATAAATATAAAAAGATCTTCAGCCCTGAAATGGGGCGGCCACCACAGCGGCGTTAAACGGGTTTCCGCAAACATTTTAATGAATAACACCGACCCCCCCACACCTCCCCCCGGGCCCGCAATGCGCTAATTAAACATTCGAGCCATATTGTTCGAGATGCTGAATCCCAGACCTCCGGATAATACGCTGATTAAATTTGTTAATTAAAACTAAATTTTAGTAAACATTAAATGTAAATAAAAATATACATTTGATTAGTGGTTTTATTTATGATAATAATGAATTTGGTAGGTACTCGGTTCTGCAGAATCTTTTAATTATTGACATATTTTAACACGCCAAAGCTTTGGCATATATTTCACAATTCTCAAAGCCTTAATTTAGTCTTAAGACCCCGAGGTATAAGGAATATATAATATAATAAGTGGTATTTATAGCACGCTTAAACGTTTGAAAGGATATTTATTTAAGTTTTTATCAGTAAATACCGATTTAAAATATAAAAACCAATACATTTTGAATTGCCTATTGTATGCTGTTTATGTTGTTTAAATGAAATACAAAAACAGAAATTCTATTTAAAATAAACAAATTAAGCTAACAAAAGCACTTCTATACGAAATTATAAACTTCAATTTTACATGAAGCCATTTCAGTGCGAAGAGAGAAATACCAAGAAAAATAAAAAAACTGCGCTCGTATTCGGTATGTTGGTAGCTCAATTAGTTAATTAATCTTTTTTTCCGCGTTAAAATAGCATTTATAAACGAGACGCAAACCAGTGGGAAATACCTCCCTTGTTACATGATATAGGGCTGTCACACGGAAAATTTAAGCTAATTTGAATAGGTTTTTTTCGTAATTAATGTCGCGTAAAAAGTCTAAATATGAATGGAGGCTGAGGACCAGTCGGTTAAGCGTTGGACGGCCTCTCACTAGGTTGAAAGATGACCTGATGACTTGGTCGTACTGGAAATTAAGGGGAGAGGCCTATATCCACACGTCAACAGGCTGTAATTAACGATAAAGAACTTATATGTATTCTTTGAAATCATTATAACGGTCTTGCGTCACAGAGTACATGGTAACGCTGATTTGTTTTGTTTTTTGTATAGAGGTTTTATATTATATTCAATTCTGTTTTTTAAAAAGTTGTTTTCTTTACGGCTTATAAAACTAAACAACCCGACTACCTAATAACTAAAAAGTAAAGAAAGGATAATGTAGAAGTAGATTAACACAACAAATAATTGTTCTTTATTTACGAAATGAGGGCAAAAGAAAGACCCTACTTATTTGCCTACAAAGAGAAATCATAAATCAATCAAATATCGATAAAACAGAGGTTGAAGCACTACGTTCGATTAAGATCGTTGATACATAATATTATAATCACAAATTGCTTTAAAAAGTAAAAAAGAAATAGTTTTAACATTATTTTCTTTAAATCTTGAGCCTTCTGCCATTGTGAGTGTCCTTTGGGTGATAGCACTTAACATCAGATAAAGCACCTGCATAGCCAGTTCTATAAAAACATCGGCTAGTTTCATGAACTGATACTGTTACGTGTGTGCATATGAAATTCAAACTAAATGATCATTTTGCATTTACCCTATCGCTTATAAAAACTAACTTTTAAGGAACATTTATTCCTAACAAAAATTCACAAAATTAGCTATAAATGTTTGACAACCCCAGAACGGTACAGTCGCTAACAGAGTTTAGTTATTCGCTGCGCAGCGGTCAGACAATAGAGGCCGAGTGCGCATCTCCCGTGCTCTACATAGCATGCAGCTTAATTAAATTAGCTTGATTAGATTGCAAAATGTTTCTTGAGCAACTGGCAACCCTTCCTTGTTTTTTTTTACACATCAACTATTGCGTGCTTTTTATATAACATTTAACATTTAATCCGATCATTTAATAAGGTCATTTAAGAGTAATTTCTACTCGTACAGCGAAGTTTTTATTCGTATAAAAAACATCTAAAATCCATTAATAATTATAAATCTAAATTTGTTACATTGTAATGCCCACGGATATTACGATATCTTTGATAATCGTGTATATGTTATTGTATTTTATTCAAAAAAGCTTGCCAACGCTCGCCACACCGATACTTTGGTACAATAAAATTAAAACACAAGATTAAATGTCACTAAAACTTCGAATCATAGATATACAAATAAAATGATCAACTAAAGAATTTCAAAGTAATAGATGATGTATCCTAACTATGGATATCTAGCTAGCTCGTTTATCAGAATGCTCAATCGGGATATCGGTAAGTTTTGGAAAGAACGTGTTATTCTGAAAGGAATGTTGTGTTACGGTTTTCGAACTCTTCGAAACAGTTTGATTTTATAAAATGTTTTTCATTTGGTAGGTTCATTTGTAATCATTTGTTGGGATTAATGTTATGAAAACTTTATACAAATATTTGCACACATAAGTCACTTTCCTTTGCGAGACTGAAACAAAGGCTTTGTAAACGCGCTTTATTCAATGTTCCAAGTAAACATGTGAACACTGGAATATAATTTCACAGTGATCAAAGTACACCCTTTTG